TAAACTTCACTCACAAGGAACACTGTGTGTTCAGCCCATTACACAAGTGGGAATTTTTAAGATTCTTTAGTAACGTGGTAGCTTAGGAAGAGAGGAGAGGGGAGGAGGCATGCTTACAGGAAAATTTACAATTTCAGAGGTTAATCTGAAACTGCCATGTTACTCCTTCAGAAAGTACATTGCCTACATGTTAAAATCGGCATAGGACAATTGAAAACGATGAATCATCTGTTTGACAAAATTTGGGTGACCTCTGTTGTATGACTTGGAACAGCTGATCAACTGACCTACTTCAAAGTCTTATCAGAAATTGTCTTGAAAAAGAAGCTTTGTTAGTTTTATGCTAACAATCCCTTATGTATATAAAATACATCTAGATTTATAGCAAATTCTTCAAGAATATGTTTTGAACAATTTTTAACTGGACTTCAAACATATTCGGTTAAAGCATCAATTCAAAATTGAAAGTATGATAATAATAATTCCATTTCATCCTCTTTTTCACAGATTTATTGTTACAACTATCAAACTAAAATGTAAATCAATTATAAAACCAGTAAATTTCAATTTGATAAAGCTGACCTAGAAAAAATTAAAATTAATTTGAATTGATTTGAATTTTTTAAGCTGACAAATCTTGACTTGTTAGTTTCACAAAATTGACCTTATCTTATAGATTCATGCCCCTTGAAGTAAAAATAAAATATTGGTAACAAATTGAAAAAAATAATAATACTGAGAAAAAAACACAAGTAATTTGCTTGAGTTCAGCATAAAGTGAGTTATCATCAAAAAGTTTAAAAATGGGTCAAAATAAATCTGACAAGGCTTCAAGAACACTCTGCATTAGCTTATCTCAAGAATGACTACCAACACGAATATAGCGGTCGCAGTTATCATGTCTACATGATGTCAAGTCAAGGTTACCCAGAGACTTACATATTACATTTAAATCTCTAACAAGTAGTACATTTAAGGGTTAAACAAGATACAGATGAAGCAATAATGATATCTCTCTCTAGAAAGACCAAAAATCAATAAAAAGCACAAATGAATTTTTAAAATAAATAATTAGATTCCGTTTCAGGGTTTCTTAACAATTGGATGCTGTAAAATTTTTCAGTACAACAATCAAGCTGAATGACCTGTCTTTGTTTTCTAAGTAAAGGAAAATAATTCTGTTACATGTTTAATGTAGGCAGTTGTTGGCACATTAGAATATATATTTAAAGGCTTCAAATTAATCAGCTTGTACACATTTCAACATGGAATTCTCATATGTGGCTGTTTGGTGACCTCATAGAGCTTATCATGAAACCTGGGTCACTCAAGGCCTTAAACAAGAGAACCTTTACCATATCAGGATTATATAGCACATATATAAGTATGTGTTATCTCAATTTTATCATCAAGCTTAGTCTGTTATTACTGATGGTTAAACACGTGTTCGCTCACGTTCAGAGCTGAAATAGTCACAAATCGGAAAGTGCATTTAATTTCTAAATTTAAACTACTATAAATTTAAATAATACTGAAATTTGAAACAAGTCTGTTTGCATCTGACCTCTCCCTTTTCAGGAAACACTGCATGAATATATGAAGTTATTTATCATCTTTAGATTTTGTCAGTATTCCAAACATGAACATGATCTTTTAAACAATTTAAATCTTGTTCTTATTTTTCCCTTAAATGAACAAGAAAAAAGACATTTTAGATTTACAATGATAATGGTTTGCTCGTTAACTCATGTAACACATAATAATACTGTTTCACATTTTTATGCCTTTTTGTTTTATGAAATTCAAATTGAATTATTAGAAGAAAACCCACAAAACTAAAATATATATTATCGATTGTATTTCAGACGATTGCACAAAATAAAACCAATTTTCTTAAAATACACATTTCATGGAGAAAAGGAGCAAAGTTTGTAGTGCTAAGGAGAATCCGGAGCACCGGTCCGTGTCTCTACTAAACTTATAGTCACTTGTGTACACCTTTCTCAGCTGATCGTCATTCATAAATTGTATGAAAATATGAAATGAAAAGTTTAAAACTAAAACGTAGAGGAGATCGAGAATGAATTACCTCAATAAACTCCGGAAACCAACCATGGCGAGGGATGCGGGGGAGAGAGAGTAGATATTCTTCAGGTGCCAACCCAGCCACTGCTTACGCCAAACCCAAGCCACACATCACCAGCACAAAGAGTTCACTTCCGGTACACACTGGTTGTAGGAACAGGTGCGTATGGAAATTAACCTATAGTTTTTCTTCTGTGGTTTTACGCGCATTGTACCCTGATATCAATATATATCTTTTTATTCTTTTAAAGTTACTGCGCGTTTGTTCTGATATAATATTATATATCTTTTTGAAGAAAACGAGTGTATATAAATGAAAAACGAGAGCAATAATAGTGAAGTGTCATATGTCAATGTCATTTACGTTAATGATATGGCGATGTTTTCAGTGCATTAAAGTCAACGTAAATGATGTCGCATGGAAATCAGTATTTCAGAAACTTGACTTCTATTGTACTTAAAAAGAAAAAAATATAGGTATAATATCAATTTAAAAACTGGAACTTCTTAATGGCCGATACCATGAAGCCGGTTACTTTCGGTGGAATATTGCTTAAAATAAATTAAACGATTTGTAACTCGGATGTGTAGAATAGTGAATTGAAAACAGGTATTTTTTTGCCGAATATCGATCTAGCGTTTCCAAACTTTCTAGTTCAAGCCGAACACTTCATCGAGCTTTATTTGTAAATAACAAAGAAAATATTTCCCTAAAGCTGAAGATAGTTAGGCGACTTTTCACACGACTATCAAAATTGTATTTTTTTTTTCATTTTGTAGTAACAGCCACGACAGCTAATTCCAATGTTCACGAAAATGAAACTGAAAATTTGAAAATCAGTGTCTAGAATTAATAAAGTAATTAGATAAAAAAAAATTACGCACGAGAAGAGTCCAGAAAATAAATTAAGAACAATTATAAGGATTTATTAGGATACATAATGGACAATATTTAACTATACTTGAAATAATATTGTTCATCAATACTTCTGTTTCTAATTTCGCGAATTCAATTAACCTTAACATTTTGTTTAACTTCTCAATGTACATCCGACAAAATTTCAAACTGTTTGACTGTAGTAGATTCTGTTGGGGCAAAGTGTTCAACGAACTTACAGTTTGTTGACTGAAGAAATGTTTTCTTAAGTCTTAAGAATTTTGAGAATGTTCCCTAGTTGCAGTTGTGGTTCCCCTTTCATATAAGTTTTCAGTAACTCTTTTATTGTACATATTGCTTGTAACACTTGAAAATAAAATCCAGGCGTGCATGAATTTCAAGATGGCGATTACTGAACTAGATAAATTTAATATCTCTCCAAGACATGACTTTATCAGATAGACAAACATAAAACATTGTCAGGTAAGAACTACATATTTCCATAGTCAGAATTGTTTATTAATATTACCAGAGACAACGGTCACGACACAACAAATGTACACAGTACATATACATATATGTTCCAGGAAGATTAAATCTACAATTATACACATGTGTTTCGAGAAGATAACAAAAATGTCCGGAAATCACTGTAACCGATTAACTGGTGTTATTGTTTCGCACTACGAAAGAACATACGGAGCGTACGTATCACATACGTACTGCATGCGAGAAAAAATTCTTATCATGCAGGCAGGTATTACACTCATGCTAATGTGATATAGACTTCGCCAAACGACTTTAAGATGTTACGGGCCTTGAGGTGAATTTTACGTTTACGTTTTTCGCAGACAATTATGTGACGTCATCAAGAGTAACTCCTTTATGACGTCATAATAGTGCTATTACATATGAATGAAATTGATGACATGACACAACAGGCCATTTAATGTCAAAAATGCGTTTTCAAAATCGTGTGACATGCGCTAAGAATGAACATTCTAGGAAACTATATTTCAAGCTAGACATAAAGTATATCATGCTATTTTTGAGGTTCTTTTCAGCACTTAAAACACTCCAGTGTATTCATAAAATCAGGGGTTTGTAAGTCCGATGAAGAGGCAAATCTATTCGACTATTTCTGTAAAACATTATAAGGTAAACAATATGTGTATTTTATGCGGGATCAGGAAGTGAGGGGGTATTAAAATTTTTGTTTACTCTTTAATATAAGCGTAACATGTCACCACTGACATAAAGGTGGGCCATAGCGTGACCACGCGGATTTTTCTAAAGAAACGGTTGCGTCATCATGGAGACATTTGATTGGTCGTCTCATGCCAGTCTTCTGAGTAAATGACAACATTGTATGACGCAATACACTAACCGATGCACTTTGTTGTATTATTGTTGTCATTAAAATGCAATAAAATACATTTTTCAGAAAGAATACAACACAAACGTGATTCGTATTGATGATATATAGTTTGTGATTGAAATTTTCTTTTTTTTTATTGACAATTCAGTGACCGATCGTTTGTTCCGTGTTGCTTAAATTGTAGTATCTTTTTGCTATAACACCGCACGATGGCTGCCCGCTCCCCGATATTTCGCTGTTATGTTATATTAAATGAAACTCTGTCTATATTTACGCTTTGTTTGTAAAGGACAAAACTACAATCTAGTTCATTATAGTTGTTTCTCGATGCATGGTCTGTCAATCAGTTTTAAAGAAAGGTTATTAACCTCAGACTATTTTTAGACACTATTTGGAGGTGTGTGAAAATAGCGCGATTTGATTGGTTGAGAGGGACAACGCCTCCAACGTAGCAGGTAAACAACATCAGCTGTAAACACGCTTGATAGTATAGTCTGACGAATTCAGTCTGTGATAAAGAGAGAACAATAGAAATCTAACAGAATTATGATAAGAAGTTCTGAAATGAAAATCTAATTTATCTAATACAGATGTATTTCTGAAATGAGATTTTAAACGAATTCACAAACATAAATCCAAGAGAAATAAAAAAAATCTTACCTTTCTTCGCCCTTGCTAGGACTAGTCGTTGAAGATTTCTCTATTCCTGTCTTCACCATTGTCACTGAGTATTCTCTAAATACAAATGTGCATTAAGTAGACTGTATATCGTCAGCACTTACAGCTTCGGAGATTTTGTTGAACTGATGCAATTCAAAGTGCGCGATCTGCCTTATATACATGTATTCTATCTATAGAATGACGTCACTCCTTAATAATAATGAATGTTTACTGTAGCGAGCGTACTGTCAGTATAGACAGGAATATCCCCCGTGACGGACAAGGTCACGATGGAAATAACCCGCACGTGCTTGTTTTTGTCCCAGAATAGAGTAAACACACTACACGAAACTGTTTCTAGGTCAGTCTGGAATTTATGCGAGTGTTATTTTTCAAGAGTCGGTAAATAAATGCAAGTCGGCCATCGTGTCTTTATCAATAAATGCACGGTGTCAATTAGGACCAAACAACAACAACAACAATGAAAAAAAGTGAATTGCATTATTGTCCAACTTCTTTAAGTACAGAACAAAACATACTTAGTGGACGTGTGTGATTCTTAAAAATCTAACCCACATCTTGTTTGTACATTACATAGATATTTTAGAACTGTTACAAATTCAATTCAGCAAGGAACGTATGTATTGTACCAGGAATGTCTGATATATGTTGATTTATATCATACGTCCCTAATTCATTCGTTCATTTCGAGATGGTAGACATTTTCACAATAATGACTAAAACCTACCGTCTTTCTGTATAAAGGGAAAAATTGATCCCCAGAGAAAAAGTGTGATAGAACTGATCCCCAGAGACAAAGTGTGATAAAAGCTATCCCCCGGGACAAACTGTGGTGAAATCTATCCCCAGAGACAAATTGTGAGAAAATCGATCCCCAGAGACAAAGTGTGATAGAACTGATCCCCAGAGACAAAGTGTGATAAAATCTATCCCCAAATCAAAAAGAGTGATAAAATCGATCCCCAGAGACTAATTGTGAGAAAATCGATCCCCAGAGACAAATTGTGAGAAAATCGATCCCCAGAGATAAAGTGTGATAGAACTTTATCTCGTGTCCCTTCCACCCCTACATATATCTAGTTGTTATAAGAGGAGATCGGACTTACGACCTTAGCACATTATACTTGTATCGTACACTTGATAATGAATATATATGAATGAGATGGTACTTTATTAACACAGAACTTTGTTTAAAGTACGATAGATGGAGATCACATGATTCGGTACTTTTTACTACCACGCATCTGCACGTGACTGACCCTTTGTCCGGTTTATCATCGTCAAGTTCCGTTACTGTCAAAGTAACCCTTCAGTTCATCCCGGACTCGGCCAAACAATGAAAAATGACACTGTCACAATAGGATTTTTTTCATAATGTCAAGACGAAACCATCTAGGCGGTACTTAGTGATATGGAACAGACTCGAAGTAAACCAGGTGTTTTTGATAACATATATTACGTACCTTGAAGACAAGTTTGTGGCAGGAATAACCAATAAGTTAACGAGTCACGAGCAATTTCTTTTCAAGATTAAATTTAAAAAACAGCAAGGAAATTTCATCATTGATATGTCTGATGATATTTTAGTAGATATTTCTTTCAAATATAATATTTTCAATGTAGTTTTTATAACATACTGGATGTTTATTGCACTTTTTATTGTCAAGTGAAGCTATTTTTAAGCTGAGATGAGGTAGAGACAAAACACAAAGGCGGGGCATATATAGAATCCTAACCATGTAGCTTATGTACATGTATTTCTATATACCGTTACCCACACTCGAAATCTGTACAAAGTCACGTGGAGTGAACGGAGAGGTAATCTAGTTTTCTTACAACGTTTGATAAATATATCATGCATGACTAAATAGCACACATAATAGTGGACTTTGGACTATCGACCGACGTCTCCATCGACCGTAAACACACTATCCGGTTTCTGTGTACATACAAACATACGTACTTCTAGAAAACTCGTTAAGTCACTGACAAGGAGAAAACACATATCTACGACACGGACGGGTGTAGGGGTGTGTGAAAACCGAGCATTCTGATTGGTTGATAGGGACAACGCCCACATAAACAACTCGTCTTAATTAATTGTTTTGTGAATTGCTTATCGCATCCGTGATCATAAAGACACATTGTAAATCATTTTGATAGGATATCTTTGATATGAGGTGAGGATAAAGGGGACATGACAGTGGGGTCGGGATTGAAGGGGAAGACGTGCGGGGGGGGGGGGGGGTTGGGTTGGAGTTTGGCCAAATGTAAAACCAGTCCAGCTACCTTAATCTCTTAGGGTATACATGTTTTGTTTGGACATAATTGAGATGCTACCTGACGGGTCAATTTAGATACCCATTTTGTTTGGTGGGCATTATATACGAGGACCTTTAAAGGCCTAGTTCTCATAAAGAACTTCGAGCAATTATATTTCTTCATAAGTACTCTTTTTTCATAATCTTACAATGCGTTGTTTACAGTTTGCATGACACGCTCTAAATGTCATCAGTAATCTGCATCCGACGTGACCTGTTATACATACGTGATGTTGACTTTGTTGTACTTTTTATTGTTTACCAGAGCGTGGCCAATATGTATGGTACCACGATATTAACCTGCTATTTCAAGTTATGTACCTCATCGTCGGGAATGGCAACGCTACACGTAAACAAATTTATGATGTTGCATCATTGTTGCTCTGATTTACACAGGGACTTGTTTTATTTACTTTTTCTAAAAATAGTACCTAGCTTCTAGTTTCTATGAACGAACACTTCTGACAAGATTCATAAATAGCCAGGGCTATGGGTGTGTTTCCAAACCTTTCTAAACAAAAGCAGAGAAAAAATAATAGCTAATATAATAAGCTGATGTCGGTAGTTATAAATAAAATCCATGTTCTCAGGAATGTTTTGGCTCTTAATGTACATGTATAATGTTTGTGTGAACTTTGGACTGTCTAATACACCGCCAGCCTTCGAGCAAACAACAGTATGGGGTGTGTGAGAATTGAGCATTCTGATTGGTTTAAAAGCGACAGCGTCCCCAACCAAGTGAAAAACAGATTGAGTCAGCTGTTACTCAAAACATGTCCGTGTTTATATGTGTGGTACATGGAATCGATAAATATCGGACATTTTATGTTTACCGGTTTGACAAGTTGGTTAATATCGTCATTTAAATTCTGTAACAATAATTATTGAATTCAGATTGACCAGCTTTCAATCACTTATCGAGCAATCTCTGCCAGAGTTGTCTTTTTCGAAACCCTATTATTGTACTTGGGGAATTAATATTTTGATGTTTTTACTAAAAATACCGAGAGAAAAAACCAAACAAACATACCATGTCGTGAAATAATTGTCCTTAGCGTGAGTTATCGCCCCTGTTCTAAATCATGTGACCTAATAGAAAAAAGAAGATGGAGTTACTGGCGGGGTTGCGACGAGATCCTAAAATTTGCACAAAAGACGGCCGACAGGTCAGTAATTACAAGTAAGTTTCGTTTTTATTGTAATCAATGATGTTATTATTTAACAGTTTATCCCTCCCACTGGACTCGGTTGTTAATTCAGCTCCATTCGATTGAAAGTTTACCTTTTTACTCCGATTGGTGCAGTGACTGCCAGTTACATACCCCAGGAAATACTGCCCGGCCTGAGGGAGCGGTTTCCCGTAATAGGTATTGTTTGCGGAACGTCTCTTCTGTGGGACTACTGAGTCCTGACAAGGAAAGATTACCTCAGGCCGACACCCCCACCCCAATGGCCACCCCTAAAAATATATTGAAAATCCTACCTTTACCTGGGTCCAGGGATCTGACATGCGGATCCACGCCCATGTTGCAGTAATTATATATAATACATCTTGTAGAGCACTTTAGACCTAGCCTCGCCTTTCAATACACACATATCTACATGTGGTCGACGCTGGGGTTAGATATTCATTTTTAATTATAATTCATAATAGGCCTACATGTTACATGCCACGGTGTGGGCTAGGGTGTGTGTGTGGAGGGGGATATATGTTAAGTATTGGATCTTTCAGATCAGTAGATCAATTAAAAGTTAATAAGTAGTTAACTTCGCTTGATAACAAGCATCAGATCTTGACAGATGTTTAAATTTTAACTCCATGGAAAATTCAATGTGTTAGGTAAATAGTACTGTAGTGAAACTGGACTGGGCAGATCAGTTGTGACCAGTTAGCTCAATAAGTTGAGCATCGGTTTGTAGTTTGGAAGGTCCTGGGTTTGAGCCCGCGGGTCTGGCGGCCCATTTTTTCTGCTCCTGTGTTACAGAACAATACCCCATCCTTTAATATTATAAGATAGCTATTGTTTTAACATGTGTATTCATGTAAGTGATTAAAATAAAGGTGTTACTGATTTCATTTTTTTCCTTAAGTGAACTTGGTAAAGGTGAGAAGGCAACAAGTTCAAGATCTGGAACATCTGGAATAAAGACAAAGTCCAGCGATATCTACTATCCAGTGACGATATTACAGCAAAATGACCAACGAAGTAGAGTCCACTATATAGGTAATCATAATGACATAAATCTGAAACAATTTTGAACTAGTGCTCTAGTAACAGAGTAAAAGTGTCCTTCCATGTGTATATTTGTTATCAAAAAAATAATTCATATAAATATATTTATAAATCAGGATTTGATTATTTCTGTAATTTTATTTGGAATAGATACTTCAATTTTACACATAGATTGTCCAGTGGTAGTCTCTCTCATAGTACTTGATTTTGATTGTTTTAAATGATTGCTGCTGATATAAACACTTGCACCTGGTATTGATCTATCTCATGTGAGGGGTCAGATACAAAATGTGACTGATATTAATTCTTCTTTTTGTAGGATACTCCCACAAATTTGATGAGTGGTTAGAGCGGGATGCAATTAAGGAGAGCAGAAGTACATGTATGATAAACAGCTTTCTGCTACAGCAGCTGCAGGTACATCTACTGAGGGAGAAGCTATTTTAATGTAATATATAAAAGTGTCTAATTGAGTTGAAAGTATACCAAATTATAGGTTA